CTCTGTGCGGGTGGTGCAGCTGCACAAATTTTTGTGCGGATCCACAGCGGCACCACCCGCATAGATTTGAACCAGGGGTTAATCACAGCTTACAAAGCCATCCACAACACTGCCCCTAGCTACATCGCCAACCTCATCCGCAGATATCGCCCTAATCGCCCACTCCCAAGATATCTTTCTCTCTAGCGCCCTCATCACCTCGTCCCACGCTCGCCTCCAGGACTTCTCCAGAGCCTCTCCCATCCTCTGGAACTCCCTACCACAGTATGTCCGGTCAGCCCCCACCCTGTCTGCCTGTAGGTGATCTTTGAAAACTCACTTATTCAGGGAAGCCTACCCCATGTCCACCTAAGAACTGTACTTGAATCACCTCCGCCAGATCATCCCCCGCAGCTATCACCTTTTGTATCACCTCCCCCTTCCTTTAGATTGTAAGCTCCATGAGCCGGACCTCCTATCCCTTCTGTACTGAAATGTATTGTAATTGTACTGTCTCCCTTATATTGTAAAGCGCTGCGCAAACTGTTGGCGCTATATAAATTCTGTATTATAATAATAATAATCAAGTCTAAGCCCCACCTCTGGCTGGTCAAGACCCCACCCATTCTTGTCCTGCCACACCCATAGTTAAGCGCGGCCACACCCATGTTTAAAAATCTCATCTATTTAGTTCCAGAGGGGTGGCCTGCCAAGTGCCATCAGGACTGATTTAGGACCCATGGCATTGGCTACGTTTGCAGTTTTAATAAAGAGAGTTTAATAGCTGCAATCTGAAGATATGATCTTTTGAGTCCATCGTTTTTCAGGAGTACAATGATAATGAAAGCCAAACAATTACCAGGCCACGCGGCCGCTGTAGCCCGTACAGCAGAAAATGTGATCACCGAAGTCGCGGGAACATCCTGGCTCTTCGTCTCTATTGGTAATGAGACCTTATTTTCAGAAAATACGTCTCTAGCCAGATGGGCACGTTAATTCTTTTGTAGTCAGAAAAGCGTTCTGAGGATTGAGGGTTGAGGATTGTCATATGGTTTCTGATGATAAGACCAGTCAAATGAACCTTTTACATTCCTCTATTGAAGATACAGCTGCCTGGAACGAGGCGGAATGTGTGTCCTGCAGCGGGCGGAGGAATTGGGCGAGACGGCGGATCTGAGAGCCCTGCGACTCACACATGGTACAGGGGAGGAAAATCAGTTCACATGCCGGCCACGCTGCTGTATTCAAACAATTATCTTTTGTTATAATATCTGGGGAAATTGGAAAGACGGTAAAGCCTGGAAATGCATTGTAGCTCATTTAATACTTTTTCGCTGTTCACAATGCACGGTGCTTTTTTTTATGTCATTCGCTGTAATATTCCCTAATGCGACTCAGTGTTGTGTTTTAAGGCACACCAGCACAGGTTACATTAATGCCTATCAATACAGGAAAAAAATGTAATAAATCGCTGCTTACCAGTCCTCAGATGTGGTAGCTGCATTCGTTTTCTTTTTTTCAGCCTTATTTCTCTTATTTTTACCTGGTGATCTGGCCAATAACACACTTCTTGTCTTAGGGTGTCTCTAGTCTGGATGGAGGAGCAATGGAGACACCTTTGGAAAGCAGCATTGTCAGTCTGGAGAGACAACAGTGTTAGATGCACTAGCAGATTTTGATGCACTAGACCAGTGGTCTCCAAACTGTGGCGGGGGGGGCCGGATGCTGGTCCTTTCCCAGGGGGAGCACTTTGTTTTCTTTCCCAGACACAAGACACTATTCCTCCCACTGATGACACCAACCAATGGGGCATAATTCCTGCTACTGACACCAACAATAATGCAGGGCACTATTCCTCCCACTGACACCAACGATGGGGCATTTGTTTGTCTCCTATTGACACCAAGGAATGGGACAATCAAGCACTAGGCACTGTGATTCCTCCCAGACACCATGGAGCATTATTCCTCCTTACTGACACCAACAGCAGGGCACTATTCCTCCTACCACTGACACCAACAGATGGGGCATATTTTTCTCCCTATTGACACAAGGATGTATTATTCCCTTGCATTGTTTTCGCTCACAGACGCCAGCACTGTCTGACACCAACTGGCCCTTTGTTCAGAAAGTTTTGGAGACCGCTGTACTATACTAATACATTTAAGCTGAACTTCAGCTATCCACTTTTTACGTAGTCTACTATTACTCCCAGACACCAATGATGGAGATAATTTTGTTATTGCATAAATAAACCAAGTAGGGCACTATTTCTCCCACAATTTTGCTGACACCCAACATGGGGCATTTGTTCTCCTATTGACACCAAGGATGGACAATCACCAGACGACGGGCAAACCACCTTTCACTCCCACTGAAACACCATTTGCATGGAACACTTTATTTTTCTTCTGATCCTCCCAATTACAAGCTCACTGACTATTACTGTATCAATGAAGATGGACAGACCATTGGAAACTCGGGCACTGCCCGAGCAGTAAAGGGGGCCCCTGAGATGCCCTGGTACCTTTTTTATAGACAGTTTCGGCAAGGACAGGGACCTATTCCCCATGATCCCCTATTGCCCGGGGCCCCATGTAGGCTGCTGTAACTAGGATAATTTAAGCATTATTAGCACTCACTGTATCACTTGTTGGGGATGTCACGCAAGTTCCCCCCCCAGTGTCAGAACAGTCCTTTATAAGTCTCTGATCCCATTACTAGTATTAAAAGAAAAAAAAATTCCAGTATCTATATAAATCTAACTTTCATGTAAACCAAAATGTACAAAGTTTTTTTTTTCACATGTCAGAATACATTTTGACCTAAATTTATGACAAAATTAGATTTTTACATTGGACATGTTTAATAGCAAAAAGTCCAAAAATTTTTTTATTTTTTTTAAATTGTCGATCTTTTTTTATTTATAGCGCAAAAAATAAAAAATACACAGATGATCAAATAACCACTGAAAGAAAGCTCAATTAATGGGAAAAAAGGACATAAATTTCATTTGAGTGCAGCGATGCATGACCGTGCAATTGTCAGTTAAAATAACACAGCGCCGTAATGCAAAAATGGCCTGGTCAGGAGGGGGGGGGGGGAATCCTCAGGACCAAGTGGTTATTGACAATCCTACGAACGTACTTGATAATTCTCCTTTCATTGGTGTGAGTGCTGCCTGCCTGCCTGTTGGCTGCCTCTGTCCACAACTTCTGGGTTGCCAGCATGCTTTGCAGCTTCTCCTCCGCTGCTTACTCTCAATTTCTGAGGACTATATCTCCCATGGTACTTTGCAGCCTGTAAGCAGTGCTTCCTGTACTGAATCCGCTCCCTGAAACTCCTCTCCTCAGCACCTCTGGAGATCAGAAGGCATAGATGAATAGGTGTCACAGAATTCACAAAAGTAAATATGTGGAGATCTCACAAAGTAAATTTACAAACTTCAAGAGTATTCTGATTAATAGGAGTAGGCTGGAAAAATTTTTAATAAAACATGGAAATGAATATAAGATTTCACATTTTGACCATAGATATACTTTCATTCATGGGAACTGAAAAATTGAGAAACAATACATTTAAAACTTGTAGAAAAGAACAAAACATGGCGCACTCTCCGCAATATTAACGCAATGAATAACCAAAAATTGATTGAAAGATGCAAAAAAACATACTCACAAGCCATGAAGGGTCATACAAACAGACAAGAAGGTCAATTGTTCAGTCATGGACAGCATGCAACCTCGGGTTGAAGTTCTAACGTGTTTCGGGAGTCGAACTCCCTTCCTCAGAGCAATATTTAAAAACTTGTGTTGAATGTAACTGCAATGGGTTAAGAATGTGTATGCCTACGAAATGCATGTGTGCTTTCGTACACAGTGGGGGCTTAATAAAACTGGACAATACAAAATCTGGTGCAGCCCTGCATAGACCAATCAGGTTCCAGGTTTTATTGTCGAAGCTTAACATCTGGGGTGATCAAAGGGTTAACTGTGTGCTGTGTGTGTTTTACTGGGGAGACATGCTAAAAAGGTGGGTAGCTTACTAAGAGAACATGAAGAAGAAGGGGTCTATCTAACGACTAAACTAACAACTCCCAACAGCCCTTTCTTAATACACACAGCTGTGGGAAAAGGAATTAAAACAGACTTTTTCCCCATGAGACTGGCAAAAATGTTTTATTTCGACCCACAAATTATCGGTATCTCTTGGCACGAAAACACAGGAAAACGGCTTTACACTTGTTACCAGATGGAATATATGTCAATACTTCACCATTTTAACCACATGATACCTGACACATGCTGGCCGTGCTCCACATTTGGTGCTCCACATTTGCCCAGCCATACGGTCATTCTGGGAAAAAACTCTTTGACCTGTACTGCAAACTCATGGCAACCTCTATCCAGGCTTCACTTGGGGTAGCCCTCTTATCCATGATCCCCAGATCCTTTAAATCTGTGAAAAGAGACATCCTCAGACATTTCATTGCAGCAGCTAGGACAGCCATTCCTTGCCACTTGAAATCGACAGCTGTACCTCCCCTTGAGAAATGGGCAACCGAATTAGAATCCATAAGGAACCTGAAACACTTGTTGTCACAGGAAACAGGATTGAAGGACCAATTTTACCCACACATGGACCACGTGGTCCATGTTCCACTACTCCTCAGAATTTCAGGCCTGGGCCAAAGAAGACCTGACCCCAATCCCCCTCGGCCATGATGGTGCGTCCCTGACCTTATCCTTGCTCCTATCTTGCGTTCTACTTTTCTTACTCCCATAGCAACCCCAATTACCTTACATAGCTGCTCCCTTACTTTCCACTTCAAATTTTCTCTACGATGACACATATGGGATGGTTAAAACTCAAATGTGTTTCTTTTTTTATAGAGCTAATTGGATTTTATTTGAAATTAATTTCTATTAAATGGACTGAGCAAAGCACAAGGTCTATCTACATGAGCAGCAAGGATGTGGGGGGGGGGGGGGTTACAAAAGATACAATTTTCACTTCTTCCATTATGGCCATTTCACAGAGCCTGGATATGGACAGATGGGCTCTGCCATGTAGGAGATCTCCTCCATGGTAAAGCGGACTGGAAATGAGAAGGGCTTTCCGGAAGACAATTGGATGGTGATCTTGTCTAGCTCATACTGGAAGCAAACCATGGTGTCTGATGCCTCCTTGAAGGGGAATACTTTCTCCCTCAGCTCTTCTCCCCAGACACCGTCCTCCATTGAGTTCAAGGATAAAATACGTTTTTCCGCCTGGAAGTCAAATCGAACATCAAAGTGGATCACTAAATTCTTGGCATCTTTTCCCAAGTTGATGAAAAACCTTCTGCAGCCCTCTGGAATGAAACCGTCCAACTCCACACATTGACCAGGTTTGAGGCTGAAGTTATACAAGAAAATAGTATTATCTGCCATCCTGCTTCCTTATCAGAGACATTTGTGATCCTCAGATGTGTTTTCTTAATACACTAACTGAATTCCTACTTACGTGAAAGTTGCTCTTTCCCCCTACACCTTCTGTTATTAGTACATTTGCTATTAATATGGACTTTGGGCATGTACTGTATATCTAATGTTGCTTTATACTGAACAATGTTTTTCAGATTGCTGATAATACTCTTAAACTGGAGTATTTATGTCATTTGTACCTCAAATTCAATAAAATAAGATTGAATTAACAAGCTCCAACATACAGGGAAGCTGGAGTGTACATTTAATAAATACAGCAATAAAAGGTGTAGTAGCACTGGATTGACTCTATGCATACGTAATGAAATCCAGTGCAACAGTAATGGATACACAATAAGTCCCCTTTCATGCCGGCAATCCGATAAGGTCCGTCTGTCAGTATTTTAGGTGGATCTGATCAGATGGTCCATGTATCCCTGTGGACTGGTGGGTCTAAATGGACTTTTTTCCATTTACACCTGCCTACCTCCAATCCAATCCTGTCCATTAAAAAAAAAAAAATTAAGGGGATCCATTCACCTTCATCTAGGCGGATCGGATTGGAGGGCAGACGGGAGTAAACAGACAGCAGAGTTCGCTTACACCTGTTGGTCCATAGAGCAGAGTAGGATCTGTCTCTGTCCGCTCTGCATAAACAGAGCAGACATGAGCCTGTTCTCTGCCCTCTCTTCTCTGATCAGCAGGGGGTCAGAGAACAGATCCCCTGCTGAGCAAAGTGGATTGTGCCCAATGTGAAAGGGGCCTAAGTGTTCCAGAACAATGAGTCTTCTTTCTTCTGGTCTGAAATGTGGAAAGGTCCTTCTTGCAGTGCCCACGTCACTCCCTACTGACACTGATACTGTCCATTGGCTACCATAAGAACTCATCAGAAAAGTTCTCATAGGGTCCTAAAAGTCTTGGATTTTCCTTCATTTCTATTCCATGGTCGCTAGGACAAATATAGAAGGTATATCTCCTGACACAGATAACAATAGAAAATTTCAGACGTTCTATCCTTTCCACATGATGCGGCTTTAGCCACCCCACCCCATAAGAAATAAAAGTTTTGGCTGCAGACACTTAATTCCATAGTTTGTAATCAGATCTTTGTAAGGCACGCGGTATTGATGCCACTCTGCAGAATTTCATAATATGTACATGACAAGATAAACGCCTAACACTCTGTATGTGATCAAAATCAATTTCCTAGCAGGAAATTTCAGAAGCTTCCTTTTTATCACACCTGATATATTATTGGCGTTTCAGCGAGCGAATCCGCCAAAGCTGGTCCAAGCTGACTCATTGATTAGACAACGTCTCCTGGAATAAGTGGTGAGTTTTAAACAAGGGAATGTATTACCAGGCCCTCTCAGGCCGGAGTCCCGCTGCCTCCTAGATTTATCTTCGCCATCCTTATTCCAGGCACGTAGGGAAATGTATAAATTTAAGGAGTGTTCTAAAAAACACATATATTGCTGTAAAACTGTCCGTGGCGAGTTTAATTGGAACCATAAAGAGTTCTTTGTGTCATGCAAGCTGTAAATTGGAGAACGTCTTGTTACCAGGAGGATGCGGGATCAAATGCCGCAGCCAATAAATTCACAAGTTGGATGGATGAACTTTGTTTTAGTTAAGGAAGCACTCTATTAGAAAGACCTCTGGTCCAATGGGATTTCTGCAGTTCCCATTGAGATCTGATTGGCTGCTTCTAATATCCTACCACCTATTGCTATATAATCCCAATCACTAAAAGCTCATACAAACTTTAACATGTTAACGTAATATCAAAAAGTAATTTTAAATCTTCTGCTTACATAAAAATCTCTTACAAAAAAAAGAAAATCCCTGGTGATTCTGCCATGAAGGACCTTGTGGAGCTACTTCCTGTTATTTGGTGACAACACTCTGTGTCATATTTTGAAGGGTCCTTCTTGCAGTGCCCACGTCGCTCCCTGGTGGCACTGATACTGTCCATTGACTGGCAGAAGAATCCATCAGAAGAGCCCTCAAAGTTTTGGATATTCTACTCCTTGGTCACCAGGACAAATACAGAAGGTAAATCTCCCCGTGGGGACACAGATAGCCCCTGCCAGTTGAGCTTTTGATGGAGACTCTGTGTAATATTTGGAAGGGTCCTTCTTGCAGTGCACACATCGCTCCCTGGTGGTACTGATACTGTCCATTAACTGGCAGAAGAATCCATCAGAAGAGCCCTCAAAGTTTTGGATATTCTACTCCGTGCTCACCAGGATAAATACAGAAGGTAAATCTCCCCATGGTGACACAGATAGCCCCTGCCAGTTGAGCTTTTGATGGATACTCTGAGTCATATTTGGAAGGGTCCTTCTTGCAGTGCCCACGTCGCTCCCTGGTGGCACTAATACTGTCCATTGACTGCCAGAAGAATCCATCAGAAGAGCCCTCAAAGTTTGGATATTCTTTTCGGTGGTTACCAGGATAAATACAGAAGGTAAATCTCCCCATGGGGACACAGATAGCCCCTGCCAGTTGAGCTTTTGATGGAGACTCTGTGTAATATTTGGAAGGGTCCTTCTTGCAGTGCACACGTCGCTCCCTGGTGGTACTGATACTGTCCATTAACTGGCAGAAGCATCCATCAGAAGAGCCCTCAAAGTTTTGGATATTCTACTCCATGCTCACCAGGACAAATACAGAAGGTAAAACTCCCCATGGGGACACAGATAGCCCCTGCCAGCTGAGCTTTTGATGGAGACTCTGTATCATATTTGGAAGGGTCCTTCTTGCAGTGCCCACATCGCTCCCTGGTGGCACTAATACTGTCCATTGACTGCCAGAAGAATCCATCAGAAGAGCCCTCAAAGTTTTGGATATTCTACTCCGTTGTCACCAGGACAAATACAGAAGGTAAATCTCCCCATGGGGACACAGATAACCCCTGCCACCTGAGCTTTTGATGGAGACTGCAAGTGTCCATTTTAATGTACACTCTGGGGGTTATGTACTAAAACTGGAGAGTGCAAAATCTGGGGCAGCTCTGCATAGAAACCAATCAGTTTCCAGCTTTTACCCTAGGTTCACACCTAAGCGTTTTCTGCAGCATTTTTCAGATACGCACTACAGTCCATTTAACATGATTTTCTATGGAACACGTTCACATCTCCGTGTTTTCACCCGGTGCATTTTTTGGAAAGGGTCAGGGACTTTTTTGAATGCAAAAGGTTGTGTTTTTGGTTCTATAGACATCAATGGAAATGCTGCAGAAAAGCATGTAGTGCATTTTTGATGCATTTTAAATCTGCCTAGAAACAAGAAAAAAAACGCAAAACACATCAAAAACGCGTAAAAAAACAGCAAAAATGCAGGTGCAAAATGCAATGCAAATTGCAATGCAGAAATGGGTCAAAGCAAACTGCATAGGTGTGAATCTAGCCATCATCAAAGCTTAAGTGAACAAGCTGAAGTTAGAAGCTGATTGGCTGCCATGCACAGCTCCACCAGATTGTGAATGCTCCAATTTTAGTAAATCTCCCCCTATGCAGGCATGGCCAACTGTTGTCAGGAAACCCACCCAAAGTAAAGCCATGCAGATATTGATAGAACCAGGGGTGGACTGACAACTCCTGGGGCCCCCGGGCAATAGGGGATCATGGGGCCCGTGTCCTTGCCCAAACTCTTTTTTGAGTTTGGGCAAGGACACAGGGGCCCCATGATCCCCTATTGCCTATGTAAAAGGTACCAGGGGCATCTCATGGGGCCCCCTACTGACCCCGGGCCCTTGGGCAGTGCCCGGGTTTCCAAATGGTCAGTTCGCCCCTGGATAGAACGCATGCAGACACGATGTGGTGTCAAATAGGCTACAGAAGATCAGCAACAAAGGATGGAAAAACAGGAAATGTATTATTGTTTTTTATTTTTAAAAAATGCAACTATTTATGATTCAGAGTGATTTAACAAAACCAAATTTCATTTGGTTAGGGTTTATATCTTGTCATGGAAATTTTGTATTGTTGGTCGAACTTTAAATGTGTCATATATGAGTGTTATTCATATGTCTCTCGTGTGGCTTAATTAAAGCTCTGAAGGCTGCAATTGGGCCATGCGTATGTACAATGTATGTATTACAGTACTCAGCTCGGTAATGGATGAGATGGCGGATCTGCGCTTATAGACCGGCGTGTATACCACCACGGCATTCGATGCGAATGCCGCTGGCAGTAGACCGCGGGCCTGTATCCACATATCAGCAGCATAGTACCACATGGACTTCATAACACAAGGCGCCAAGCGGTGTGAACTCCACGTGTAGGCTTATGCATATCTTACAACCCATTACCAACCTGAACTGTATCTTGGATGGATGTGTTTTAATAAAGATCGTATCGGGCCCATTCAGATACATACTGGTGTTTAGCTTAGGGAATGCTTGTACAAAGAATTTACATACCAATAGGAGCTAGTAGGACAGGAAATATGCCCTCCACAGAGGGCTCATGGGGGAAGGGGAGGAAGTCTGCTGACCTCAGAAGGCTCATGGGGGAGGACCAGTGATAGATAATAGGAAAGGCCATGCTCCAATCGGAATGTATGTCCTGTGTATAGGCACTCCCCATTGCATTGTTCGGTGGGAGGGGATTGACTTTATTCATGTGGGGGGCGTGTGTGTTTGTAATAAAACCGGGGGCTGAGTCTGAAACCGGCCCTTATGTGAATTCCAAGAGCAGCCTGAAAGTGTCGTGTGATCATTTCCAGGTATAGGGAGCTCCACCCCCCACATTTCAACAGAAGCTAACTCATTTGGAGGGGTAGGAATCGTGTAGTTTAGCTGCAGTCGTGGTAAGCGAGATTCGCACAGCTTTATGGGGATTTCTGCGCATCCAACTGCGAGTACTCACGGTAAGGAGAAATTCGTTAAAGCGAATTTCCAAGACAATCTGCCTTAAGCTAAATCTGATCTGCAGGAGATATTTGGACATCCAGTAATTGGT